GGTGGTATGAAATGAATTTGGGAGCTTTTGACCTGTGCTTTATGGCAGTTTGCACCTTGCCCCTCTGCCCAGGCCTTTCTGCACTCAGGAACCAGCACTTCCTCCTCCTCCCTGTACTCCCTTCCTCACTTCTAAGGAACCTGCTCCTTTTCCTAGAGCTAATCTCCAGGCCCACACTCCTCTCTTCTAGGAATCCCTGACCTGAACTGACAAGAGACTATTTTGACCACTTTATCTTTTTCCCACTTAATGTGAATATTCTTGTTGTTGTCAAAATATTAATGTATTGATTATGGGGTGTGGTTCTAGAACCCACTGGGGGAATTACGCAGTAGATGGCACATGTACCATGTTACCTTTGTAAACCATGAAAAAAATGTGAGTTTCTTTTTTTAAACACCTTTGACCTCAAAATTGTAGGGCCTGTGCTATAATGCCACACAAAAGAGGACTAGACAATTAATTTACAGACATCCATGTGACAGAATATTACAGAACTGTTCAAAATCATGTCTTTGAAAACTTAAGAACATGAGGATCTGTAAGGAGGACTCTGTGCTTTGAGCGGAGTAAGTGAGTGAGAGGAAAGTGGGAGGGTATAAAATCAGAGGGAGCAAAGAAAGGGTCCAGATCACACAGGGCCTTGAGCCCATGGTAAGGGCTTGGATTTATATTTATCAACTATAAAAAAAAATTTCTCAGTGTCCAACAAGTGACTTTTCCGAAGTCCACAATCTCTCCAGCTGCTCTAGAGCAAATGACACTTTAACATTCATTCATTTAAGAAAAACCTTTGCTAGGACCTACCAGGTGCTAAACTAGGTATTGCTGGGGATACACACAAATGTGAGCACACCACAGTCCCTGCCTGCCAGGACTCACTGCCCTGAGGGGAAAGGCAGAACAGTAGCATGTGAAGGTGGTGCCCTGTGGACGTCTCTGGACAGAACCATGAACAAAGTCCTGCAGAGACTCAGAGATGCCATCATCTCTCCTAACTTCTCTCCTCCGACCTGGCTTTATTTGGATACATTATCTTCCTTATCCCTTCTTCAGTTTTCAACCCCATTTTGCACCCCACCTCATGAGGGTCCAGTTCATACACTGCCTCTTCTGGAAAGCATTCCTGTAAGTCTTCCACTTTGTCTTGTGGGAGTTGTGCTCTCTTGCTTCCATGACTCTCCCAGCACCTCGTTCCCATTTTTTCATGGTTCCCTTCCTTTCTGCCCTGAATTCGATCATGGGATCATGGTGAGCTGTATATTCCCCTTTCCCTCAATGTCCTGCTGACAGCCACACCTTGGCATTGGCAGGATACTCCTGTGAGCATCTTGTTACTTGAACAACACAAAATCGTTAATCATATGTTGAAACTGTCAGTGTTTCTATAAGATGAAGAGGCAGTGTTCCCACAAAGGCCTGGCACTGGAGTTTGCTGCTGTGAGAGGCTTTGGGCTTATTATTCTGGGAGAGCTTTGTGAACTGCCTACGTCTCCACCTGCTTGGGCAACAAGCAGCAAGAGGAATTGACTTCAGGACTTGAGAACCACCTTCCTCCCCCAGATGGTTAGTGACAAGGAGTAAGCATGCCATGAGGGACCTGCAGTCAAGCCACCCTCACTTTTCCCTCTGTCTTTGCATTGACCCCTAAGCTTTTCCAGGACTGGCATCATGAGGGGTTGAGTGGTACCCATGTAGGCAGTAGCTTCTCCTCTTTCCGTTTTTGATTTTTGGTTCTTAAAAACTGCATTCCAAATGAGGGAAATGAAACTACTGAAAACTCTCCCCCAGTCACCAGCTGACATGGGGCAAGACAACAATTCCCAGTTATGGCTCCAAAGGAAATCCCCTCCTTGTCATGTGCTGAGGCCGGGAGAAGCGGGGGAGGCACTATTTTGCAGCTTGGCCAGACCCAGCCTCCAAGTGAAGGGCCAGGACGGAAGGGATCCCTGTCTATGGCTAGGGACAGAGTGGAAAATATCATAGGTGAGAGTGAAAGGACGGAGATCTCAGGGCTAGATGAGCTGCCAGGTCCAGAGGCAGACCCTGCGACGCCATCGCTGGGTGCAGCGGCTGTGCTCTTCCCTCAGAGACCCATCCAGAGGATGGAAGCTGACCCGCATTTCTGTCGCCGGATCCCTTGACTACACTGTCCCTGACTCACATGTGTCTCCCTTTACAGTCCCTGCTGTATATTTCCCCACCCCAAGTCCTGAATACTTTCTGATTTTTCCTCTGGAAAGATAGTGGAAGGGCAGGGCAGAAGCCTAAGTTCATTTGAAGAGTTCTTTGGGAGAATGAGAGACCAGTGACAAGTGGTTATAAAGCTTAGCAAAAGGAAGAAAGGAAAGAAGGAAGCGGGGGAGAGAGAAGGAGAGAGAGAGAGAAAGAAAGACTGGCAGGAAGAAAGGAAGGAAGGAAGGAAGGGAGGGAGGGAGGGAGGGAGGGAGGGAGGGAGAAAAGGAAGGAAAAGAAACTCTCAGAAGACAATGCCTAGAGAATCACAGACAAGGTAGATTGATTGCTTTCCTTTCTTCTTTCCTTCTGTCTTTCTTTCCTTCCTTTCTTCATTGAGCAAATATTTACTAACCTCCTGTACATGCACTGGGCAAAAGTATACTTTTTGGAAGAACACATGACCCCTTCCCTCAAGAAGTTTATAGTGTAGTTGGGGAAATAAGAAATCTTAAAAGTTTCACATCACAATACGAGAGATGTTATGAGGCCCATGGATATTGTAGATACTTGTAATCACATGTTCAGAGGAAGAGGTAATCTCGATGGGCAGGCTTCACACAACCAGGGGAGCCTAAGCCATACCTTGGGGAAGGAGATGGTAGGGGTAGGGACAGGAGAGGTCATTCCAAGTAAGGGAGCCCTCTAACAGCGAGAGTACAGAGTGGGCAGCGTTTGTTCTGCGTTTAACCAAATTGTGAGCAGATAAGACTGAATAAAACACTTTGGGACCAATGTTGAAGTATGGGAGGTAACAGTGAAGAGAAGCTGGAGGCAAGATCAGGCTGAATGAGGCATCTGGACCTCCTTCTACAACTGGGAAATGCCCAGCTCCGTGCTTTCACCTGAGATCTCAGAGATCCTGGGGTGCTGTTTGATGCTAGACTTCCTTAGAGTTGAGTAGGGAATGGATACAAGCTCCCCAACACACTGAACGGTTTTAAACAAAGAGGCCCATAGTTCCCCAGACTCTCATGTCCATGGAGGACTGTGCTTGGCCAGGGAAGGCTGGATGTGCCACGAGGTGTATTCCAGAGGGAGCACCCTGATGCCCTCTGCCTTAAGCGGCATGGTCGGGAGGGGGCCCAGAGCGCCCAGCCACGTTGGAGAATCCCAAACTGTGCAGTTAGAGCTACAGCCCTGTGAGCAAGAACATGTTCTGTTTTCATCTGGAAGTCTCAGGTCCTCCCTGTGGAGCCGGCCTGCAGCTAGACTAGAGGGAGAGCTGCTGGCACCATTTGCCAACAAACTTGCTCATCTGCATACAGCCATCAAGACCATTGGTTTCCTAAGTCATTCTGAGGGCTAGCAGTTGCCTTCCTCAAAAGAAATTCTATAGGGAACCTCAGTGTATAAAACATATAAAAGTGGAGTTGTTGAGATAAAGAGGGGATGGAGTCCTGAACTTCCACCCAGACAATCCGTAGGCATCTCTGAGGACCCCTGGAACCTGCTGAACCTAGTTTTAAGGTAAGAGAGGCAAAGGCAAGCCCTGAAAGGGCTTTAAGCAAGGGGTGAGATGAGCCAGTACACATTCTAGAAGGATGCCCGGGGCCACTGGGTGGGATCTACAGTGGAAGCAGGGAGTCGCTGAAATGGTCTGGGCATGAGCTGGTAAGGTCTAGACCCATGGCAGTGGCAGCCAGGATGGAGGGTAAGTTTGGGTTCAAGAAACTTATTCTGAGTTAGAATCAGCAGGAATGGGTGAACGATGGATGCGAGGGGTGGAGTCTGAGAGAGCTGGACTGCCTGGATGAAAGCATGCTATTACTGTGACAGCCAAACAGGGCAGAGCAGCTGGCTGGGACAAAGGATAAGACTTGAGTTTCAGAGACATTGTGTTGCGGCCACTGTGGGACATGTAGGAGTTGACTCACCAGTAGACAGTTAAAAACAGAACTCTGGATCTTCTCTCTTAGAAAAGAATGTTGGAGGTAGAGATTAAATTTGGGAGTTAGCAACATATTGATAGACATAAGGTAATAGAAAACATGCTTACTATGAAAGAGAAAAGGCCTTAAAAGAGAACTTTTGTTTATGAAAATTTGAATTTTATTTATTTTTCATTAATGTCATCGTTATTACTATTATGAATGAATATTTTAGGAGCAGAGACAATTTGCTGGATGTGTGGAGCAATAAGGACTTGCTCCTGTTGTCTGAGGATAGGCAGGCCAAGGATAATAATGATACACAGAATCACAAATCAACAGGCTACAAGAGAGTGGAGACAATCCCCAGGACACTTCAACTCTCCATATCCGATGGGAACTAGCAGAACAGGAGATCCCTTCTCTGACTCCCCAAGTAGAGTGTCCCCTTTACTCATTTGACATGCAGCAGCCACTCAATGCTTTGCCTCCTCCACTAGATGGTAAGTTCCTTGAGAACAGGAGTTATGAGATAATGCATATAAAACTCTTAGCATAGTGCCTGGCACCCCTTTGACGGTGGCTATTACTAATTCAATTACTCTTTTGAATTCTTGGAGAGAATTAACAGGGCATTTTGCACACATCAGGTACAAAACATTTATTCATCCTGTGATCAAGAAGTTCATGGCACTGGGACAGTCCACCACAAAGCAATTTCCATTCCTTTTTCTTTTCTTTCTTTTTTCTTTATTTTTTTGATGTGGACACATAAAAGGAGATTATTAATAAAGACTAGCTGAGTGGCTGACTCTTCCAGAAAGCGGACTCTCTCCCAACCAGAAATCGTGCGTCCACCTCATTCCAAGATCTGCTCCAGATTGACCCTCGGACAAACCTTGGCGAAGAATTTCTGGGTCAGCTTTGTTCACAGGCAAGGCTCGCACCCCGCAAAGTCTCTAGGGCAAGAAAGCCTGGAGAGCCTCGGTTAATCGTGCTGGGAGACCATACAAACATCCGATGCCCCTAGCCGCCCACCCGCGGCGGCAGTTCCCTCTAAGACGCCTGCTCTCCGTGACGGCTGAGTCGCTGAGCAGCGCACTCTCCATGTGACTTCAGTTTCCGTCCGTTCCTTCCGCAAGTGCTAAAATAATCTCCTGCCCCAAGGAGAGGAGGCAGCCCAGCCCCGCGTTCGGCTGCTCTCGAGGAGGCCGGAGCCCCGGGAGAGGATGCGCCGCGCGGAGCCGCCTGGGCCTGCGGGAGCCGTGAGTATTTCCCGCGCGGCCGCCTCCCCACCGGGCAGCCGCCGCGCTTCTGTTGGGCGAGCGGGGCGAGGCGCGTGGTAGATGGTCAGCGTCCGCGGCCCACAGCTTGGGGCTGACGGGGAAGTTGTGGCTTGTTGCACCCAGGTTCCACCGCGTTTGCGCTTAGTTTGGGGGCTACAGCCCGGTGTAGGTGAAAACGCCTACAAGGAGGTGTTCGAACAAGGTGGGCTTCAGATTCCTTGTTGGAAGGTTTGCTTCCTGGCTCTGTGGGGAGAATTTCTGAGCCTCAGTTTCTTCATCTGCAAAGGGGGAACAATAAGGCTCCCTGCCTAGGCTGGATTTACTGGATGTAACGAGACTACCTTGTGAACACTCAGCATGCTGAGTGCTTGGATGGCCTTCCCTGCCCAGGACCTGGACTGAGAATCACCATTTCGTATATGAAGACACTGAGATGCATTAATCGTGGCGCACATGTGTGGATGTCTTCCATGTGCCAGGGTGTTCAAGGTGTTGGGGATGGAGCTGTGAAAAGAGGCAAAGCCCCATCCGCACAGAATGTCCTTGGGAAATTCAGTAGTGTTCTGTTACTTGGACCCACAGCTAGTAAGTATCAGAGAGGCACTAGACCCCAGGACTTTCTGCCCCATTGTCCTGTGTTCTTCTGTAGCCCTCAAGGCCTCTCCACGTGGGCCGGATCCTGGAGGGTTCAGCAGCATGTATCCCCATGTACTCAGGAACTGACGTAAATAGGGAGTCACTGGCTGGGCTCCAGGCAGCCATCAGAACGGGCTGCCACCTCACTTCACCACTGAGAGAAGGTGACCATGTGCCCAGCTGAGGAGGCTAAGACAGGATCCTAAGAATGGAGACCCTGGATAGGGCTAGTCCCGGGCAGTGCTCTTCCAAGGGGCAGCAAAGGGACCCCACTGCAGGTTTCTTCCATGATGCTGTTAGGATTCTGGATAGTAGAAACATTCAGTGTTTATACAATTGGCCTTCCAAGATCTGTACCCACTGCACTGGGCTGTGCTGCTCAGGCTGTTTCTGTGGATGTTGATGATTTGCTAGGTTTTACAGTCCAGAGACTGACTGACTTCCCTTGCATACCTGTAGGTTAGTACATATATGTCTGAGAGTTTCTAGAGGGGATTATAGAATCATGGGCCCAGAAAACAAATACAAATACAAAAACCTTCCACTCTTGCCTTTAGGTTAAAAAAAAAAAAGAAAATCTGTTTCACAGAGAGGGTGCTTTCATCTAATGGGTGCCCTCATGGAAACTTCTTGAAAACCCATAGGAACTGCTCCTACATGGTGCTTAAACCTGCCATCCAAGAGCAGCAGCCTCCCAGAGAGCAAGCTCCTAGCATCCCTGTCCTTGGGGAATGCATTGTCCTGTTTGTTTCTGGTCTTTCTTCATCATGGAAAAGTGACCCTAGAACTGATTATAACCTACATTCTGGCTGCAGTGTGCATCCACACCACAAAGCATAAACTAGATTCTTGGATGGACAACTCAATGTGCCCTACGTAATGCTCAGATCCATATTATAACCACATAGGTTAGGGGAGAGTAGGCTTTCAACCATGACTGAAAAGCAGTATCTTTCTCAGGCCATGCTGGTGTGCTCAGTGATACCTACTGATGTGTGTGCAACATTAGTGGCAAATATTTTTGCCTTTGGTGGAACTTTTTGTTATACTCATTTCCCCCCAAACTATTCTCAACTTCGTTGAACAAACGTCATGTCCTCAGTGTGTGGGGGTTTCTGGGGTAGGTTAGGTACTGATTTCTGAAGGCTCAGAGAGGTGAGGAGAGAGAAAAAGGACATTGATACTTGGCTCTTATCAAACTTTGCAAGCAACTATAAACTTGAGTTCAGGTGTCTTTTGGTTGCAAATGACAAAAAACCAAATCAGCTTGGCTTCAACAATAACAACAAAAAAGGATTTTATTGCTTCAAATAACAATAGCAAAAATCTATCGGCAACAGCTTTAGGCATGGCTGGATCCAGGAGCTCAAACATTGCCAGGAATCTATTTCCTTCTTAGCTTTGCTTTCTTCTGTGTAGGCTTCATTATCAGGCAGCTCCTAATTTTGATAGCAAAGATACTCCCATTCCTCTGCAAATTCAAAGAACATCAGCTCCGAGCTTAATCACCACCAGTTTGGTATCTGAAGCAGGAAGAGAAAGCCTCTTTCCCAAATAATTCTAGCAACTCTTCTTGGATTGACTCTCACAGAGTTGGCTTCTGTAATGTACCCACTGTAAACCAATCAATGTGGGTAGGGAAACTGGAGGCTCTAATAGACCCAGACTTGTTTATAGGTCCCTCCTTGGAGCCAGGAATTGAGGTCAAACCCAAACAAACATGGACTTCTTAAAGGAAGGAGGTTGGTTGTGTGACATCATAAGGAAGAAGTAGAACTCTGTCAGGGTTCTTCCAGTGAGATGGGCATGAGGAGCAGTGCTGGTGCGGTGATGGGTTAAATGTGTCCACAAAGCCCTGTGATGACACAGAGACTTCCCACCTCCAGCCCCAAACCAGAGGTCACCTCGGTCAGGTGCTCTGCCATGGTTCAAGGAAGTTCCTGCTGCCACCTCCAAGAAAAGAATTAGGAGTGGATTTCTCCTTAGAAGATAACACCTGGTGCTCTGTCTTTTCACCCTGGCTCTTCCTAAGCAGGACATTAGGTGTCTGAGGCAGCCCAGCACCCACAGTTCCTGCAGGGGCTCATCTTCGGGTGCACCTCATGTCACTCCATTTTGGATGGCAGGCTGGACACTGGCTCCTCCTGGTCCTCCCTATTGTGACTCCCTCATCTGGTCCAGCCATGATCCCTCAGGTCTCTCCTGCCTTTCCAGTGTCTCCTCTCAGTGGTCCTACAAGACACCAAGGCAGAGCTCTCTCCCTTAGCCTGCAGTCAGTGGGGAGTGGGTCTTCCCATGCCTGACCCTGGGCCATCTCCTTCGGCTTCAGGCATGGTAATGGTGTCCCTACTGCTGCCCAGCCTGACATCCTGAGACTTCCTCATGGGACTCTCCCAATGGCCTTTCTCTTATTCTAGGTTCTTGCACCTTTCCTCAGGTCCCTAAACCGAGGCTTGCATTTTAGTTAATAATTCTGGCTTCTTATTTCCTTCTATATCCCCTATTTTTTCTAGGCTTTCTAGCTCCTTTTGCAGAAGCTCTAAAGGCCCTCATCTTTGTCAAACATATACTCCATGGCATTGACAGGCTGTCTCATCCCCACAGAAGACCATGGCCCCATGAACGCTCAGGGGTGCTATTCAGAATATCAAACACTGCGTGGTATAGACAAGATCAATCAGCATGGACATTGTCATTAGATGCAGGGTCCTGGGGGCCCCTGTTGGGTCAGGTGTTACCTCCTTGGTTACTGCATCATGGAGGCAGGGGCACCTAGGAGTTCCAAGAGAGCGGCCTGGAAGCAAGGGTAGGGGCTGGTGGTACATATGTTTATCGACTAATACATACCTATGCAACCCAGCTGAACAGTCACCCAACATATATTCCTCTCGGACAGGTGAACATCCCACACCTCCTACCTGGGTCAGAAATCAGCTCTGGTTTTGGCCTCACTGTTTACAGTTGATGTGACTTGATCAATTCACTTTGGCCTTTTTGAGTCTTAGGCTAATTATGTGTAAAATTAAGATAATAAGCAGGGACTTGAACATAGATATTGGTACACCAATGTTCACAGCAGCAATATTTACAATGGCCAAAAGGTGGAAACAAACCAAAGGTCCACTGAGGGATAAATGGATAGACAAAATGTGGTTTATACATACCATGGGATATTATTCAGCCATAAAAAATGATGAAGTTCTGAAACATACTATTACATGGACGAACCTTGGAACATTATGCTAAGTGAAATAAGCCAGGCATACAAGGACAGATATTACATGATTCCAATATATGAGATAACAAGAATAGGCAAATATATAGAGAAAGAAAGAATAGTGGTTGCCGGGAGCTGAGGGGAGGGAGGAATGGGGAGTTACTATTAAATGGGTACACAGTTTTGGTCTGGGATGATGGAAAAGTTCTGGAGAAGGATAATGGTGAGGTTGCCCAACAATGTGAATGTATTTAATGCTACTGAATTGTATCCTCTAAAAGGGTTAAAATGGCAAATTATATGTAGATTTTTACCACAATAAAAAAATGGAGGTTATAATGCCTACTATATAGACTGTTGCAAGTATGAAATGATCAAATGTCTGTAAGAAGCCTTTGCAACCTTAAGTGCTATTATGATTATCATCATCTAAGATCATTAAGGTATAATTCAACCATTTTGGCTTTATCCATGAGTTTTCTAAAAATCATTATTATTGGGGGTGTGGGATTTTTTAAAAATCACATTACTCTTATTTCTCTGTGAATAAAAAGTTTTAGAGAAAAAATATCAGCTTTAGAAGAGGTAGCCACTTTGCTAGTACAATTTGAGAGATTTTGAAAAAAACATAATTATCTCCCATACCATCCTGAAATTATACCATGAAAAATTTATTATTTTTCATCATTATCTATATAAATACATATTAGAGCAGGGTATTAAAGAGCATATCAGTCATTCACACTTTAGTGTGAATTTAGCTTTCCTCCTAATTCTGGCTGAGAACACTAAGGCAGTGATTATTAAATCTTTTTTTTTACAAGACAGAATTTTTTTCTAAATAGCATAGCTAACTTTGCAACCTCAATTAAATTGAGGTTAAATAAATTAAATTGACATGCAGTATGTAAAAACTAGGAACTTTTTAAAAGTTAAATCACTTGATATGAATTCTTAAGTATTTAGAGGGAAATATACTGATGGCTGAAACCTATATTGAAATGCGTCAAAGAATAAGATGGATAGAAGGATAGGTAGATGAATATATTCATGACACAAACAAGTACAGTAAAATGTTAATAGCAGGATCTAGGTGGTGGGTATACCAGTGACCACTGTCAAACTC